CACTAATCTGTTAACGGTGTCGAATGCTCTGCATTACAGAACTGCAAGATGTTTGAATTCTGTCATTGTCTGGGAATTTAACAGCATTTGACTTTTTTATGCCTCTATCAAATCCAGAAAAGGTTGTAAAATGGAATTAAGTTGTTAGCATCAGATTCATTTCTTTCTTTCTTTTTTGCTAATTTGAGAGTGAGTGATTGTTTCCCCCAACACTGCAGCGTAATACACAGTGAAATCTCCTGTTTGAAGAGCTATCTACCTCCATATTAGAAATCAATACACCATGACATGGAAGGGCTCGAGTGACATCATTTTGTTTGTGGGTCAATCAAGCAGCTGCAGCCTTGTTGAGCTCGTATGCTGGAAATGGAAAAGTACCTCCAAACTGGACTCGTTTGCTAGGGCACCAGCTGTCCTGATAACAGTTGGAATTTGTCATCATGGTTGTTACTGTTCTTCGGTTATCAGTGCGTGGCAGTGGCAGATTGCTGTGCCTGCAGTGTGGACACACTTTCAGTTCTACATTAGTTTACAAGTTGGTAACTTTGACATGGTTAGGATAGCCTTAGTTTGGCCATGGGGCTGGCCTAAAGTGTATTTATGTTTGGATGTATTTTATGGCACTGCACTGTGATTTTTCAATCAGAGAATTGAAATCGTATCAAAGTATTTTTTCACAACTCTGTGCACTTCTTTATTGTCGATGTCTTAACTTTCAGTGGCAAGATTGTTTAAAGCTCCACAGCTGGTTTCTTGTTTCAGCATAACAGCTCCCAAAATGTGTTTGCTCAGTGTGTAAATAATTGTCAGACATATTTAAGTCCTGTAGAGAGTCTCAAAAGTTCATCAGGGGCTCGCAGAAATCCTGTTGTTTTAACATCAACTTGCAGCCGACTGCATGAAATTTGAAGCTTTTGCCTTTGGCTGCTCTCAAGTGCTTGTTTTGTGACTAAATTTGTAATTTCATTTTTATAATACCACTAAGGATAACTCTAAGTGTACTGTTGATTATGTAGGACGGAAAATGTTCAACATTGAGAAGAACATCTCATGAATATAATTATAAAAGGTTCATTTTTAAGCCTGTAAAATGTCAAACAGCTGTTAAGAACTCTCCATTAAAACTCCCAGATGTCAGAGAGACACATTCAAATGTCATACTTGACATAAACACTCAAGACATGCATTTCACTTTAATAGATTTGGTAATGCTACAAAAAAAAATTGTGCAACTTTTCCCCATTTCGTTTGAATCTTATTATTTTTTTCATTTCAGCTCTTTGGAAATGTTGCTCTAAGAAATTAGCCGTGGTTTCCATTGAAGTCTGAAGAGTATTTTCCGACAGTTAGTCTATCACAAACCAAGATGTTTGCTTTTGTAAAAGCAGGGACGTCTTGCTTTATGTAATGCAGTGTGTGGAGAAAATGAAAGCAAGTCAGTTTAAAGAGCAGAGGCAGTCTTCACACGTCTTTGGTTTGATTCATTTAACACATTTCAAGATTTCCTCTTCTCATGTATCTCTCATGCATTTTTAATAACACCCATGTTGCAAAATGTCCCTTTTTTGCATATCATCACTAGTTACATTAATCAAATGGAAAGGTTATCTTGAGTTTCTTTCATTTTTAATTTCCAGAACTAACGTTGACATTTACAGTAAAACTTCTTAAACATGTTTCCTACTGTCCTACAGGTAGTGTTCTGTTCATTTCTTTAAACACTATATTTCATCCAGTCAATACATTTCCCAGTTGAAGTATTTCCATGTTGGTGGGCTTGGTCTGCCATCCAGTTGTCTAGTGGTCAGACTTTAAGAGAATCCAGTTTAACAACTTCCTCCTGAGCTGGTTTGGGCACAAAGCGTCTTCTATCACTCTCCCCCAGTACTTTTTCCTCTCTTGTTCTCAGGATCATTTGTGACCATGAGCTGACCAGTGGCTGACCCTCTAACCTTTTAAAGACCCTGTGAACTACAAAGCCTGTTCAGTCACACATGTGCATCTTGGGTGAGGGGTGGGGTGATTAAAAACCCTTCCTGGCCTGTGAAAAGGACTAATTAGACAGTTAGATTTACATCAACACTTTACATGCTGGGCTGTTAAGCTTGGCTTAGTTTGACTGTTTCAGTTCTTGTCTTCTGTGTGAGAGACATGTAATGAAAGCATGCTGCTCATTCCCATGATGAATCTTGAACTCTGCCCTCATTGTATTTCTGCGAATCAGCGTTTTGCATGTCTCCAACTTCAGCACTTTTTATCTGGCAGACGGCGCGAACATGTGCAAATCACCCTCATCAGGTGCAGAGCTGAGCACACACTCAGACCACAGACAAGACGCACAAGCAAAAACATTTCACTTTTTTCACTTTTTCCATAGCGCAAACGAGCCTCACACAACCCCCACGAAAATGTTACAGCATTAGCTAGTGGGGAAAAATGTTGTATTGGCATTGGATGACAGAGGAGTGAAATGAATCAAAGGGGGAGCAGTCTGTCATTTACATTTTTAAAATCTACTTCATAAAACTATTGCAGCTGTGTTGCCGTAAACAGCTGACCACTTTCCATTAGTACACACACCATGCTGCAAACTTTACTGTATATGTGACGACCTTTACCCTTCTTCCGTGGGAAGGTCTGATGATTGAACACACGTGTTCTTTATCAAATCACAAATCAAGTAACCTGCTTTCAGTTTGATAGTCTGCTGTACAGTCTGAGTTTCACTTCCGTGGAAAGATTCAAAGACTATCACCATCTAAAGATTTTCAGAGTTTACAAGAGTTCATTGATTAAGGCAATAAATTCACTTGTCACATGTTTTGTCATGAAGTTAATCGCTTTAATAATTAGATTTTAGGGATGAGAAAATGATTGACACTGTGCTATATTACATAGAATTTAAAACTGTAAAGTTCCCCTCTCCTTTAAAACTTGAGTACATCAAATGATCATCCAGTTAGCCACAGTGCTAACAGAAGGAGCAGTAATGATTCTGAGTATCGTTACCATAGACATAAAACACTGACATAGTCTCAATGATGTCACCTGTTTTGAAGCTCCAAGATGGCGGTCACCAAATGTATGTATAACTCTTAGGCTTAATCAAAGTAAATTAGATGTACCAATTCAGAATTGAGCTAAAGATGCCAATTCAGGTCCTACATGTTTGCACTTCCACATTGGCTTAATTTCTCAAAATTGAAGTTTGAGAAATAACTAGCAGAGAGAGCAATGTTTTTTGCTAATGTGTTTTAACACAGAACATTATCTACTCAAACCTTGCTCTCACCAAAGATAGGCTAGCTTACCTTTCCACTTTAAGTCCTCTTAATTTGCTGTTTTCAATGCTAACTGTCGTACTCATTAAGGAGTAAATAATGGTGATAATACTTGTAAGTAAGGTTGCACATAACAGGTGCAGTGTATCAGAAACAATACACAGTCCTCTGAAACCCAGGTTTTCTGGACTCTTTCTGCAAGACTACAGTGACTGAACAACAGATGGAAAGCATGAGCTTCGATGTGTTTGACGTACATACTCACCCTTTATTATACTGACACCAGAAAGTTTCACTTCTCATAAGAATCGGTCACACACATATGATACCAATAAGGTCACCTTACTTTAAGGGTCCATAACACTACAGATAAGTCTAACAGAAAAAAGAGATATCAAGGTGCAGCTTCAAATTTGAGTTTGGTGGGGGGTATTTTTCTACAACTAACAACGCATGAAAACTTAGTCTTCTTAGGACTCTGTAAATCAAGTAATGGTTTGAATGTTTAAGGTGGTTGGGTGGCAGCACTTAGAAATACATTAAACAGAAAAGTAGGATGGTAAATAAGGGCCACAAATTCTGCATTTGAGTTATGTTTACTCAAATGTAGTGTCACCAGGGATATGCTTTTGAGGTATCAAAGGTTCCTGTAATCAGTTCAAGCCGAATGAGATTTTAGCCTAAACATGGTCAACAACAAGGTTAGCCCATGCATGTAAATACAACCAGTAATTACAGAAACTGCTGACTGTCAAATGTGAAAGTGCGTAAGCAGGACAGTGAGGTTTTGCTTCTTTAATTTCTAGTCATGGTTTCAACACAAACTTGGTCATCAGGCCTGTCATCCCAAAGCCCAACAGAGGAGCTGTGTTGTTTCAGCACACAAAAGAATGCCCCCCCCTTGTGCTGGTAATTATAGAGCAGGACTGTCACAGACCTGCTATTATTAAGGAACCATGCATCTTCCAGTACTTCATGGCTTATGTGAATTTTGCCAACCCCTGCACATTTCCCCCTTCGAGCACATTTGGAGATGGACTTGTGTTTTTGAATACCCAACAGGGGCATTTCAGTTTCTGTTGTGGCTGTTCAAGCACACATATGGTTTAGGATGATTGATTAAGCTTTTTGTTGCTTTGTCGGATGTCAACTCTTAAACTCCCTTGCAAGAATCCGAGAATGTTTCCCTTGCTCTTGATGGTTTCAGGGAAACTATAACCAGTTGGTTGTGCACACCATAATATCTTTTGATATTTTAAATCTTTTAGTGCAAGTTTGACTCTTTTTTAAAGGGGGGAAAACATTAGGACAGAGCAGCCACTGAAAAACACCTGGAGCTTCTTAATCCTTGCGTAATCATGGCATTATGAAATAGATGTTTAGGGATGCAGCACTTGCTTTCCTGTTTCCCTATCAGTGTAAGCACTGGTTAGAACAATATAGCCCTCAGGTTAAAAGTGATTCCCAAGGGCGCCTGAGTGTCGTTTCAGCTCATCAGTACCATTGGAGATAGCATCAACATATCGCAGGAAGGATGTGGTGGAAGAAATGGAGTTTACACATGACACATTTCCTGTCTTCTTTTGGTTTAGCCAGATTAGACTCTTATATAACTTCTAGTCGATGGCAGCCATCGTTCGATGTTCATCATCCAGTCATTTGTCTTGACGTGAAAATCAAGTTCATACTCAGTCGTGTCCTTGTTTCCTTTCTCCTCAGGCGGTGTCTGATGCAGCAGGCCAAGGGGTCACGATAACTGGCAGCAAGACCTTCAACAACTGGAACTGGCCTAATGCTGTTATCTTTGCCGCCACTGTTATCACTACTATCGGTAAGTACTTTTGGATTTTTACCAATGGTAGATCTTTTGGGAGCCAAAAAATATTGAATTTCTGTCACCTTTGCTTAATGTTTGGGGAATGCAAGATCGACATGTTGAAGTGGTTGGAAAAATTTGCTATGAGCTTTTAGGTGGAGTTCAAAAACTTTTGGGACTCATTTGGTTTCATTAGGTAGATCAAAAATATTACCAAAAGGTTTATAAATGGTGGACTTGCACTGAGATAATCCAGCTATGTGGCATATTTTTTGTAATTTGATTCTCCTATTGGAAAGCCATGCTAAAGAGATGCATATTTGAAATAATGGTTTTCAATTTGTTTTCCCCTTTTCATTCCTACAGGATATGGAAACATTTCACCTAAAACATCAGAAGGCCGTGTATTCTGTATCTTCTACGGACTCTTTGGTGTGCCTTTGTGTCTTACCTGGATCAGTGAGCTGGGAAAGTTCTTTGGTGGTCGTGCCAAGCACCTGGGACAGTTTCTAACCAAAAAAGGATTCTCACTGGTAAGTTTAAATGAGCCTATTTTCTCTACCTGGAAAAGTACCTGCATAGTGCTGTGGTTTCACCTGAAGTTGTTATTCTTCTTTTCTTTTTCAGAGAAAGGCTCAGTTTACCTGCACAGCTATTTTCCTGCTCTGGGAGTGCTGGTCCATTTAGTTCTTCCACCTTTTGTGTTTATGTCCCCAGGAGGGTTGGTCATATGTTGACGGCTTGTACTTCTCATTTGTTACCTTGACCACCATTGGCTTCGGGGACTTGGTCGCAGGTAAGATGAGAAATAAAATGTTTGATTCAACGTACTTAAACAAGAAATCCTCTATACCAATCCTCACAATCATTGATGTAAGACTTGATTGCCTTGGATGTCATTCAACAACTGAATTGTGACCAAGTTGTACACAGATAACAGGGCCATTGTGGTGCATATGTTGGATGTCTCCTTTAATTAAATCAATCACTTCAAAACAAGCAAGAACTTTGGATTGAAATGACCTTTGACTGTTTTGTTTGTCCTTACAGGTGTCGAACCAAATAAAGAGTACCCAACTTTGTACCGTTACTTTGTGGAAGTTTGGATCTATCTTGGGTTGGCCTGGCTTTCCTTGTTCTTCAACTGGAAAGTGCGAATGGTGATTGAGGCCCATAAGGCGCTGAAGAAACGGCGCAAGCTTCGTAAGCTATCTCTGGAAGAGCTCAGGCACTACAAAGAGTCTCAGAAGGCTGCGCTTCGTTTGCCACCCACTCCTAATGACGTCAACAT